CTCTGGTCCTCTCACCTGACAGCCTGTGACCTGAGTCATCAAATTCCCTTCTCCTATAACTGTTGCTGCCACTTTTCAGGGGGTGGAAAGCCCCATTAGCTCAGACCTACCAGTGCCACTTGGCAGCTGTGGTGATTTACAGCAGAAAAGACTCATCATCTGCAACTGTCAAGGCAGGATCTCCAACTTAATTTGAAATACTTTTACCCCTCCAGATGATTTACTGCTCAAGCACAAGGTGGTCATTTTATCTCTCTTTTCTTCCCCCTTTGCCCACGACAGACTGGATCCCACGCACAGTCCCCTTCCAGAGCTACGGTGTCAAACGAGCGAGATGAAAGCCTCTCCATTTTTCACTAGCCCTCCTGAGCGGTCTGCTGGAAGATGACTGCATAGCCAATTGCCGTGTCCATTTTGCTGGCACCTCCAGCATTTTATGCGGTGCCTGAATCTCAGCAGGCACCTCACGCCTGCTAATGGCTTTGCGAGTCAGCCAATCAATTGGTTATTTACGGCAGGCATGTCTCAGAACTGTCGGGTCAAGTTTTCCTACCCTGACGTATTTTGTTCGGAGGAACACATAAATCCTCTCCTGCCATTTGCAGCTTAAACCTTCTGAGTGTGAAGCCAGTGGGCTAAGGTTTCCAGCAATAGTAGCGAACTGTGTTTTAAAGGGTTGTTCTCCTGACTCTTAGGGACTTGGGCACTTTGAGTCATGAATCAGTTCACACTGCAAGATTTATAAGCATTAAGCTCTCTTTTTGGTGTCCTTTAGCTCCGGAGTTTGAAGTCGTAACCAAGGAAATTGAGACCTCTCCAGTGTTCCAGTGTTTTTCTATTTAAGGTGCTCTTCTGAACAGTCATGATGACAACTTAATTAGGTGCTCTGAAGTGAGATACAAGAAGGGGTGCAGAATTCCTGCACTTGCAGAGTCTGATCCTGCAGCTCCAAAATTCATAAGCTCATGAACGGGAGGATGAAGCACTTGAATAAAGTGAACTCTGGATTTTGTTATCAAGCCTCTAAAGACCGTAATGCTCCAGTTATTTGGAGCTGCGTATATCTAGGTCCTACAGCAATATGATTCAAAGTTAACCAGAAGACTTCCCAATCTTGAAGACTTAAACACTAACCACCAAGGAACAACTATTTATAGCAGCACCTAGTATGCACAAAGGGCATCTCAGTCAATCAGAAAGCATGGGGTACTGGGCAGACTGTTTATAAGTGGATGAGACAGGATCACAGTCATCTTTCTGTTCAGCCTGTACTGGTACCTTTTCAACATATGTGCATGTTTAGAAGTGAAAAAATGTCTATTGTAAAATCAAGCGAGGGGAATTAAAATAAACCCAGTTTCTAAAGCCATGAACGCCGTGCTACATTGCAGTGATTTGAACAATAAATTGCTTACAAAAGGAAGCTGACACAAAGTGGAGATTTTCTTTGGTCTCATGTCAGAAAATAAGCCTTTTCCCCATCAGGATGTAAGCAATCTTGTAACTGAAAACATACTGCAAACACACCTTCAGCTTTCAGCATTTCTAGAATTTGGAAAAAATACTCTTACAAATCAAAGGTCTTCAAGTGGCCTTGTCCCCAACACTTAAAATTAAATCTAATTCAACTGATGATAAAAAATATCTGCCTGTGAAAATTTGGACTGATCCACAAAATTCCATGTAGATAAAACCAGGGGTACCTCTCTCTCTCTGTGGCCAGGAGCCTGTGCAGAACAGTATGGGATTCATCGTCTTCCTTTTCCCAGAGCTCTCAGAAGAAGTGACTGGACCTGCTGAACGGTGCTGAGTCAGTTGTAAAGGTAAGGACAAACATGACAACATGAATGCAGCCCTAGAGTTAATGTTTCTTCTTTCAGCCTTTCACGGGAACAAACTCAGTACCTGGCAGAGCACCTTGAACTTTCTCAGTGCAACCGCCCATGCAAGATGGCCTCTCTCGTTCTCAGACCTCATTGACTTTTCCAGCCCTTCCTGACCTTCCAAGGTGGTGATTTATGGACCTTGTCCCCCAAGGAATGAGTTCAAATCTTGACATTGAGTCTTCCAGCCCACATGGGACTATTTGGGTGACAACAGCACACGAGAACAGGTCTAAGGCCCCCAGCCTTGCCCCAGGGAGGTCACCCCCACCCTCTGCATGCAGCCTGCTCTGAAGGGACCATCAACTCTGGGTTTTCTCTGGAGGAGAGGAGGAGGACTGACTTTTTGGAGCTAGCTTAAAATGTGCTGAAATTGTGTGGACTACCGGTTGCCACGTGATGGACTTACATGCGTTCATTTAGGTCCATGCTCTGGAAATGATGAAGGCCCGTGTCCTTCATGGCATTGACGATGACTTCTGCTGACAAGAGGAACAATTTCCACCTAAGATGACTCAGTATTTGCAAGGTATTGTGGCATTTCTCTGTTTACAAATGGAGACTGCTTAAGCTCTGCAAATTTTTAAGGCATGGGCATTTGAGAGCACAAAGAGAAACTAATGAGAAGATGTAAACACTGAAGTGTTAACCCTTGAGTGACCTCTGAAACAGCTGCACGGGGAATGTGGAGCTTAAAAAAATATTCCTTTTGTGGCACTTCCGTAGGTGATTTGATGAGTATTTTCAAAGATGAACGGGTCCTTGTTAGAGGGTGGCAATGCACAAATGCGTGCGCACGTTTATAACCCCTTGATGAAAGTCAAGGCAGGCACCTGGAGACTCTCTGGAAAACAGAGGTTCCTTGGCTGTGGTGTTGTGTTATCAGCTCCACAGCTGCACAGGGAACAGCACTGTGTGTGGTGGAAGTTTGTAAAATTATTTTCATCAGCATGATTAAATACTTATTACATGAGTCAGCCATACGGGCTTCATTAAACCAGTGAACTCAGAGGAGCCTCCTCATCTGTTTATGAAAGCCATCTGGAATTATGGATGGCTCAAGAGGAGGATGAATGCAGCTCAGTGTGACAGAAGCCCAATTCCCCTCTCAGGAGCCTGCCTGCACCAACCCGCTGCACTCCTCGCCCCGCACTCAGGGAAAGGGGCTTTTATTTTTCTTTCTGCACATTTCTGGGCAAAGAACCAAGGCCTGACATGACTTTGACAGTGAGACTTCAAATATACCCTGTCGGGATGTGACACAGGCACCTTTTTCTGGTGGCAGGATATAACACAGCTTTAAAAAAAAAAAAAGAAAAAAAAAAGACGCAAGCTTTCACACTGGAGGGAAGTGTACCTTGAAAGGAAAGGCTTAATGAACTTTAACCAGCCTTCCAAGATCTTTATTAGTTGCCCCTTTATCAAATTAAATTCACACTGTGCTAGGCAGCTTAAGTACTGCAAGTTGATGTCATGTGCTAAGTGCCAAAGTAGGCTTTAATTGGCTGTTTAAATGAGAAAAGGGGTCCTGCTGCGCAGCACATGCACGTACACACATATAGCGAGGGGGACAGGCGGGAAGGAGCCTGGCTCACGCACTCCCCCTGCTAAAATAGCAAAACAAGGTACCAGGTTTTTCTTGCGCTAGCTGGAAAGGTTTTGCTCTGTGTTGGCTTGAGCCTCTTCTCTACCAGGACAAATAACTGAAGGAAAATTTGCATGAAGGTCCCTAAGCTCTGTCCCCAGGGTTATAGGTGAAGCAAGGTGGCTTGTCCACGGCTGCGAGCTGATGTGCTTCAAGGTAAGCTGGGATGAGATGTTCGTTCCGGAAATGTCCTGTGGAGTTACTCAGAGCTGGCTCTTCTTGAGCAGCTTTCCCGAGAAATGCCTGCCGATCAACCTGGCAGGGTTTTAATAAAGATTTCTTGTATTGGTCACAGCTCGGTTTCATAGATCATGAATTAGTCACAGATGTCAACAAGAGTAGCCAGAGCAGTAAAGGCCAGACGAAGACAAACAGGTCACTTGTCCTGCAGAAGAATTTTGAACTTAAAAATACATTACAGGGGCAGCAGCGGTGACTGCGGAGTTAAGATGACAGACAACTCTGCTGCTAAAATGGGGAGCCCTTGGCCTTCCCGGTGGGAAGCTCCGGCCTCCCGGGAGGAGCAGTTAGTCACACATGGAGAAATCCTGCTGGGATTGCTTGCATGGGATCGTCCAAGGTGACCACTCGCATGACTAACCGCTCTAACCCTTTGCGAGAGGAACGAAAAATGAAGTGGCAGTGGTGTTTCTTACTCCTGCAGCCCAGACGTAACAAGGGTGAAAGTGGTGCTGGAACTTGCTAAATTTGAACAGTTGTTTTCTGTTAACACACGGCCTTAAAAAATGTGATTTGAGAAGCTTGTTAGAGAGCTAGTGTTAACATCTAGTCCCCGCACAATTGGGCCCATCTGGGCGGCAAGCCTCCCGAGCGTCCTGCTTTCTCCATGCAGCTGCATCCTCCCATCCTGCTCATCTCCCTCGCTCCTGGGTGCCGATGCTCAGCCTTTGGCTTGAGCTGCCATGGTGGCAAGCTCCGGTGCTGCCTGAAAACACCCTCCCTGCTCATCCTGACCCACGGGGCTGAGCAGCAACGGCAGTGAGCCCTCAGCCTGCTTTCCACAACACCCAGGATTGGGGAGCAATGGCTTTTGAGCACCCTCAGCTGCCGCCCTGCTGCTCTCCTGGGCAGCGAAGCGATGCTGGTGGTGCCTGGGGGACTTTGCAGCAGGGAACAACAGCATCACAGCAGCATCACGGACCACAAATCGCTTTCTTTTTGTCCTTTGTTACGCATGCAGAAAGCATTTCTCCACTGCTAAGAAGCCTTGAGGCAGATCTGTCATGCCCCCTTCCTCGCCCTCTCTCTTCTCCTTCCCCTGCCTTCACTTCCAGCCCTTCTCTGGTTCCCTCCCAGCCCCTCATGTCCCCCTCCCTGAGCCTACCTTCTCCTTCTCTCTTTCCTACAGGCCGGCAAGCCACCCACTTCCCCCATTAAGCCGGACACTTTGGGGGACTCCTGTCTCCTCTCTGCAACTTGCAGCTGATTTTATCTGCCCCTGGGGGATGGTTTTCATAAGGCAGCAGTCAGCGCGGAGGTGCGGAGGCTTCCGGCCCTCGCACTAACTTGCATTCCAGCATTAAAGATAATGGATACAATGGAAAATCGATGGCGAATATGTAACTTTATCCCATTCATAGCTTCATATTGCATTACGCCGTGGCCTTCAGATACATAAAAGTGATATATGGCTGAACTTGGCAGGAAAAAAGAACACAGGAAACAAATATCTTTGGTAAGAATCACAGTCTAGGTATAACCTATATAGCAAATAGGCCTGAATATCTTCTGTTTTTCATAAAATTTCACTGCATAATTGTTTTCCAGTAATATTTGAGAGTGTAAAAAATATAAATCAAGGCTTTGTGCATATTACAGATTTCCCTTGAGTGAGATAAGAGAGAGAAAAAAAAATGACTGCTTGAGTTTCCAGCCTCAGCCAGATGCCAAATCTGTCAGAAATACTGCTTTTTTATATTATATCAGTGGAAGGAAATTATTGCTGCTATTATCTGCCCTTTGGTCAGAAGCATATTCTGCACCTTGGCTAATGTGCCTTTGTGGTGCAGCCACCTGCACTTTTTCGAGGAGTTCATCTAATTACAGGGTAGATGAGTCAGGCTGCATTTCCTATGGGCTGTCTTCAAACATAGGAAGTTATTAATACTGATTAGCTGAAAAAGTCCAGGTCTTCACCGTGACGTTTCCTGGCTAATATTAGACACACCTTCTATACTTTAAGGTGTGATAGCTGATAAGAACCAGTAGTACGGCAGCCGAGGTTTTACGGTGGTGGGTGCAGCACGGGACAGACTGTCCCAAGAGGTTTTTTTTCTTACACCTCTGAATGAATTCAAGCAGACAGGCTGGAATGAGAACGGGAAACTAAAGGTAGAGGACACAGCCTGGCATGTGTGAGTCCCTTAGGAAATGATGAGGGAGCGGCACGGTGCTGCCTCTGGTCTCGGTGCCTGGCAGCAGAAGAGAGTTATTGGGAAATTTTCCCTTCAATAGAAAGAAATATCTCCCCAAAGGAGAGCTGAAAGTTCCTAGGAGATGTTGTTGTAAGGCTTAAGCTCCTTGTTTCGGAAGAAGATTAAAAAAACCTTGTCTATTTAATGAGAATTAAGCAGCCGTAGCTAAGATCTACCAACGGGCATGACAGAGACCTACTGGGGGCAGGGGTCCCTGCACGACCCCTGGGATAGCTGGAATTTGGAGACAGAGGAGTCCATGTGGGACTGAATAAAGCGAGGCAGCAGGGTCTATTTTCAGGTCTTCCACCAATTTGCAGGTACACACTGGGCTGTTTGCCGACCTCTCTTTCACCCTTTGCTTGTCTCCTCCGTGCAGACTGCCAGGGCCAGGGGCTGTTGGTAAAGTCTCAGCTTCACGCTGGGGTTGTGGTGGCTCCCCAGGTCTCCCGTGCTAACCTAAGCTACGCTGCTTGTCATCGCTCCGGGTGAAGAGATGGAAAAGGGGATGTACTATGGCACAGTGGATGGATGGACAGGACTGTGGCGGCAACAGTAAGCTCACCTCGTGCCTGCCCCTTGGATGGGGGGATATGGGGGTGCCCGTCTGCCTGAGCAGAGTGACTGTGGCTCAGACACAGACACCTGGCCTAGCTCTGACGAGGCAGCAAAGGGGTGGAAATAAGGAGGCGGCATGGCTGGCCCCACTGGTGACAACGGGGACTTCACTGGCGTCACGTGGAAAATTTTCAGATGATAAATCAGAAGGCAGAAAAGAGGGACAGATGGACAGCGTTATGGAGATTTATCCAAGTCATGCAAAGGAGAATATGGAACACAGCCAGAAAATGCTTGAGATATAAATGATTATTCCTTACAAAATAGGTAAAATAATAAAGTCCCAGCAACCAGAATTGGAAGCTAGAGGGACAGAGATTAAATGCTTTGAACATTCACGAACCAAATCTTGTATCACAGATGCCTTGCTGTTTTATCTCTTGATTTATTTTACTTTTGCAAGCCACAGAAAAATTGTATGTGATGGTTTTTCCTTTTCAGTTCCCACTACTGAGTTTACAAAGCTTGCCAAACGTGGAGAACTTCACAGAAATCGAGAAGAAAAAGCTTCCTGGCTGGCTGGATTTTCCATTGCTTTCTCAGCTGTACCGTGGTGGCTCCTCTAATTTATTCTGCAACCAGAGGGGACAACTGCGCACAGCACAGGCATGCGAGACAGGAGAGAGTCGCTGGCACATAGCACCACAGCTGCTCTGGAACCTCAGGAAAATTGATTTTAGGTGAAAGGACTGGGTTCTCCTCGCACGCTGGGTAAATGAGGAATGCCTTTACTGAGGACCGTGGCTTTGCATGAGAACAACCTGGTGAAAGGGGGGAAAGCAGGCTGAAAAAACCTTTTCTTGCAAGGTCCCTCGGTTTTATATTCTTAGTCGCACTTGCAGAATACATCATACCGACAGGAAATTATGCTTCCTTTCTCCCTCACTTTCCTGGTTTAGATTTCAGCTCCTCCTGTGTAATACCAGCGAGTACAGATAAAGTTATTTTACAGTATGAAGTCAGTGCTTCTCCAAATAATTTAACTAATGTTTATAACGCTATCCCCTGTAAAAGGGATAAGTATTATCCCCATTTTACAGGTGTGAAAATCAAGGCAATTTGGTCATGGTGTTGAAAGGAAATTATGTTAAACTACCAGCACTGAATTCATGTAACTTATCCCACTTCTTGACTGTAGATCAGAGTTCATACAGTCACGCTCTATAAATATCTGCCAGCACGTATATGTGGGCTTCATATGAACGTAAAAAACCTACCCTTCCCTCAAACTTTGATTCAGCATCTGAATGTATCTTCCTCGTACCTAGTTTTACTGTATTTGGTCTAAAAGCCCATAACTTGAGTCACACACACGAACTTCAGAGAGAAGATTGCCAGAAATAGGGCTTCTGCTGTTGGAGGCTGCTGCCCGGTCCTAACCTGCACTTTTCATGTCTCAGTTGCAGATGAGATGGAAAATCTGAGCTGCTTTGGCCAGAAGCCTATCCTGGATTTGGATTCTCCTTTTTTTTCCTCAAACAGTATGTGCAATTACTGACTACTTTGCAATACAGAAAAGCAAGATAATCCCATTTCTGATCGCTGGAACTGGGACGGATCTGATTTGTAAAGTAAAATGGCATGCACAGAAGTAGGCAAGAAAGGGGGGAAAAAATCAGTGAGAAGCTACTTCTAGGGAATCAGGAAAAAAAAACAGGATAGGATTTCTTCCTTAGTGAATTGTTTTTGCCCAGGAACATTTCAGTCCTAAAGCAAATCCAGAAACTGTTGTGAGTCTATGACATATGACTAGTATCTTGAAAGTTTACAGCAGATTGCAACAGCCCGAGATGACATTTAGGCAGCTGAAGCCACATTCGCTAAGTTGTGTTTCACAGGGAAAAATATACTGCCTAGTGGAAATATTATGCTGTTGTTGGGTGGCAGCTTGCATTATTATTAGAGATGGCAAGGGTCTATGTGGCATTTGTACTTGAAACAAGGAATTTTAAGCAACTCGGAGCTTACGGGCTGGGCACTTCTTTGCTTGCTTTTGTATCACTTGGGTTTCTGTGTGTGCATATTTTAGCTAATGCAAAAATAAAGCCTCTTTTATTGCAACATTTCACAGAATTTTCCAGCTTAAATGAGCCAGTTTCCAAATCAAAAGGATAAACCCTGATGAAAAGTTGGCTTCTAAATGTGAAATTTTTCATGTCCACATTCCATTGGCTTTTAAAGGAAAAAAAAATAAAGTATTTCTGTAATGAAGGAAACTCACATTTTGAGGGGGGGTGTAGCCATCCTCTAGCAAATGGTAAAAAATTTGTGTCAAATTGAGGAGGGTAGGTTTTTTCCACCATTTTTACACACTTCTGGTTGCCTTATTCTGCTTGCAGAATACAATCAAAGGCACCCAGTGGGTATGATGGAAATGCTCGGGAATGAAAAATATCTTTGACTTCCAAACCTCTGCTCGTCTTTGAGGAGCTGCCAGGTCTTGTGTTACTGGTGACTATGTAAATGTAAGGGATATGTTGCCGGTCTTCTGGATGCAGAACCATTACACACACCCCGCCGTCTCTTGTGAGCACAGCCAGCTCCCAGTCCCGGCTGCCCAGGGTGGCTTTCCTGCTGTCACAGCACAGCGCCACGGGGTCCATTCTGCCCCATGAACCCAGCACCATAATCCTGCTGGCACCTCATGCTGGCTATAGGGTAGTGATGCTCGATGGCTGGTAAGGGAAATATCTGCGTTCCCTCTCTCCCTCCCACAGCCTGAACCCAGCACTGTGGCCCTGGTCCTGGAGGGGAGGCGTGGGAGAAGGGCTGTGCCTCCATGCGTATATCACTGATGTAGGACCATGTGTTACATGGTCTTGCATTAACAGGGGAAAGAGGGCTTTAGCCCTTGGGGAGGTTGCCTGGGACGCGTGGGGTAGTCTGGAAACAAGTATGAGATGTCTGAGGTGCCAGCAGCCCCACAGGGTGCCACACAGACAGAGCAGGAGTTAATCTGGAGGGCGAAGGTGTTTAGGACCCTTCTCTCCTCCCAGTAAATCAAGGCCTTGGCTATCACGGCAGATTTCACTTTTCCAAATAAGGCTGAGAGTTTTCCGAAGTATTTCAAAAGCAGATAATATCTCTGCAGGTTTGAACACTGATTCCTCCCAATTTGAGCCAGGGTGACTCAGATTTTGTAAAATGGAGCCAGGAAAACTATTTAAGTGGTCTTAATTATAAAGTGCTCGTCTCCCTTTGCACTGATTTTTTTTTTTTTTGGTGGTATGTAATAGGCTATCTGTGACGGGAACGGGGAGAGCCCCAACACCCCGCAATGCTTTTACAGGGTCATATGTTCCCTGCCAGGCTCCCAAAAAGAAAAGAGCAAAGTGGACAAGTTCAGATAAGCAGTGTTTGGGTTGTGTCCCAAAGGAGTAAAAGACCCAAAAGATTTTCAAGCAAGGTGCTCCACTGGAAAAACTGGCTCTAACCCAGAAAATCCTTGACTATATATGAACAGAGAGGCTGAAGCCCAGAGGGACTTTAACATCTGCTCTAATGTCTTGGATATTAAATTTAATCCACTTTTACCTCCTTTCTGAGTTAAATAGCTTACATTTGACTAAAGCTTATGTTGTGTTTGCCTAACGCATAACTGTCCCCTACCCCCGCCCCAAGCTCCATCCCTTCATGTGAAGAGATGACAAGATACAAACCAATCCACCTCTGCCCTCCGGGGATTGCTCCAATGATTAAGGGCCCCCACTTAAACATGTGTGCAGAGCTGCTCATGTGGATTTGCCTGGCTTTCATGTCTAGTCCCTGCTTCTCACTATGGCTTTTTCTATGTTAAATTACCATTTAACATGCCATCACTTTGTCTGCTCGGACATTTTACACCATATAACAAAGCTGCATCACTGATCTCTTTAGAGTGGGGGTGTTTTTTTATCTTTCCAAAAACCAAACCCAGACTTTGAACCAAAACTCAATCATCTCATCTCAGATCATGCTGCATTATGGGAACTACCATTTCTTATGAAGAACTGTGGACCTTCTTGACAAGTGAATGGCAGCACACATTTAAACTCACCCATGTGCTACATTTTTGACTAACTTTACGTGGAAGGAAATGTGGTGGTTGCTGGTCCTCTCCTCCCTTTGCTACGGCCAGATACGCTTTTTCCATTATGCCCTTTCCCCATGCACAACTTGGGCACAAAGAACACTGGCAGCTGGAACGGAGGACGAGAGGCTGCCCTGTACGCTCACTTCCCGACATAGACTACATACATCTCTTTCAACAATCCTCCTGCTGTCAGGACTAACCAGCAGAAGGTGAGTAAAGAGGTTAGTTATTTAGTCTAAAAATAGATTGATGTAACCTGAAAAAGCCTAAAAATGTAGTCTAAAAAAGGACCGATGTATTTTCTTATATTCCTCCAGTTATATAGTGCTTGATGATGCAGAAGATGATGATGCAGCAAATTAATTCCTGATCCTGCAATTGCTTTTTGGAGGCTGAAAAATTGCCTGACTAAGGTGACAGAAGGATCACCAGAGAACAGTGAAAGTCAGCCTTCTTGATGTGGGAGCTGGGCCAGCTAAAGAATTTGGCTAAAACAAGACATTTGTAGCACTTTTCTGTACCCATCAGTAACTCTGAGAAGTGCGATTAAGGGAGGTTTTATTTTCTCAAATAATGCAAAATTGCACTGGGAAGGGAAGACTCCTCAAAGGTTTTTCAGCTTAGCTCAACATTATGGTCTAAAAGGCTGACTGGGAAGGATGAACACAGGTGGGTTTACTGTAAGCATGAACCCGAGTAGCCCAGCTTTGATGCTGCTGCAAGACTTACTGCCAGATTGGGAAAAAAAAAAAAAAAAAGCTAAATTATCTAGACTTTGTACCAGTCCTTGGTATACAGTTTGGCACCAGCCACTAACCTAAGCTGGCCTGGGAAAAGTCAAAAACTTGAAGTGAAGGGAAGGGAGATGCCCTATTTGGGAGGGCAGAGAAGCAGAGGAAATGTGTGTTCCTGGCACAGTGAGGTCTTCCAGGATGAATTGGCAAGGGATCTGTTCATAAATTCACAAGTGGGCTTTGACATTCAGTATCAGCAAAAGAAAAAAAGCCACTCCAAGTGGCTGTGGAAATGATTTATAGAACATGATTTGGTCTTTGCAGCTATTCATTAGAAGCAGCAGCAGCCTTTACAGAGGAATATGCAAGTAGATAATTCTGAATGTAGTGCTGCTGAGAGGGGGTACTTGGTGGCTTGTGAGTTGAAACATTGTTCAATCTCTGTAAAACAAGAAAAATTGCACTGGCATAAAAAGGAGGAAAAATAGTTCTGTTACAGTCTTCCATTTTGCAATTAAAGAAAAAAAATCCTGGCTGCAGAGAAAGCCTTTAACCATACAAAATAATCCAGAACAGCATTTCAGAAGTGCCCAATACAAGCTTCTCCCCCAGCATGGGCTAGTCAAGGGGGTGACACAAAGCTGCAGACAGCTTATGGGGGTTTAGGTCATGGCAGTCAAACAGCAGGAGAGGAGGTACGCTGGCAACTGAACGTAGCCATCAGGAGCACGCACAGACAGTGGACGTAGGCATGTGAAAACAGGTAGAGAACAAGGGATCCAAAACCTAGTCTTTGACTGGTGTCAGTGATGGGGGAAATCTGTCCAAAAAGGGCTTAAACAGGGATTAAAAACTGAATCTCTGGGGTTTGAGCCCAAAGAATGATTAGCCAAAGTAGCAAAGGAATTACTGACCACTCTGAATTTCATTAGGCCAGAGTGAGGAAAGGTGTTCACAATTTCAGGTGGAAATTCCCTTTTTAACATGTGGTTCAGGGTTGGGAGGGCAGGTACATGCACCTCATTTGCCACGCGTGACTCCTTTCGCCTCCAGGGACAGAAACAATCATAACAACTTCCTCCTGTGATAGGTTTCCAAGAAAGGAAAAGTGCAGCATGGTTGAGACCTGCACAGAGGTTTGGGGAATCTGGGCTTTTGTGGAGCAAGTATGGATTCCCGCTCACCTACTGAGCATTTCTGGTAAACAGCAGAATATTATAAAATGAGGAATGACTGCAAAACATGGCTATCAATCATAGATGTGTGTGTGTGGAGGGGCAAAGGGCTGAAGACAAAGGTAGAGTGCAAGTAAGTTCTCAGAATTGTCCTTGGACTAGTGCCAGCACATGGCAGTACCTCTAAATGGGGGGAAACCAACAGTTTAAGACACTTTCTGAAAAGGAATCAGGATTTATTTTCCAGATCTTATAGAGGTATGGGTGTTAAAACTGGTCCAGGTCCTGGCAGAAACAGGCTCATTAAGCAATCACTCTACCACTTACTAGCAACAAAAGGAGAAGCAGCTTTATGCACTACTGAGAAAATGGATTAACTAAGCATAATTAAACCTGCAGTCAAGCCCTGACCTTCATCCAGTTCTTACTATGAAATAAGATGACAGCACCAGTTTCTGAGTGAATGCTGGAAAGTTAAATTCAATCGTTTTAAAAGATTTAAAAGCTTGCATGAAGAGATGGCGTTCAGAATGCTGTAGCAGATTCAGCCGGGCTTTCCTTATTAGATCTGGAAAAATAGTGGTGGATACAAAAGACAGGAAGAGAAAAGTCCTTCCCTTAGTACAAGACAAGGCTTGTACTCCTTCAAAGAGATGGCTTTCAGCTTGAAAATGCACCATCCACTAATAAAGAGGCTGCTGTGTGGTACGTGTCTTTTGTCCAGTGTGTTGTATCTAGCCGATATCCTGACGCATGCCAAAGTCTTTGAAGGGGAACTCATAAACTGTTTATAAGTGGTCTGTGATAAGCTCAAGGCAGCCCATCTGAAACAAAAAGAAATGTGAGGAGCCCTGAAAAGAGATAATTTACCATTCACACATTGTGGGGGAGAACACCAGGGATGGAAAAAAGTTACTCAAGCTAAGGCACAACCACAGCATGGAAACAACTGGGTATAAACTGCCCAGGAATAAAATTAAATCGGAAACTGGAAGGAGTTCAGTCCTGGATATGTTTTCATAGGAGAAGCGAGAAAGAGTTTATGAAAGATACA